TATATATATATATATATATATATATGCCATTTTAAGTTTTAAAATTTCACAATGGAATGTTTTATTGATGTTATTAATGAATAATCTTCACACACAAAATTTGAGTGACCATATCTTGTGGGGTCTCTCTTCTTTTTCTTAATTATATTTTTCTCATTTAGTAAATTTAATAATTTAAAATCCTACTTTGGAAAAACCAAATTAAATAACATACACAGATCAAACAATAAAATATAATTTGCAAAGACATTAAGCCTATCACTTACCTTTACAGATTGTAGGATGAGATTTACGTCAATTTTTATATTTAAATTTGATTTATCATGCAAGAACTTTAACACGAAGACGTAAAGATCACATAAATATCACATAAATAGTGTAAGAATAAAATAGTTATAAAAATATAATTTTTTGTATTTTTTTAAGAAAAAAGAGAGTAAAAAGTAAGATAATATTAAATAAATATAAAAATTTAGGTGTCAAATAACATTTTTTTTTATAGTTTTTTTACCTATAGGTACCAGCCTTCACCATGATGGAAACCCAATACATGTTCTGAGAAGGGACTGCATCAATGGCAGATTGTATTGTGGTGAAGTTTCCATGCCCTGATTGATCCACCAATATTGACCAGTAAGCTAATTGTTTTCTTCCAACTTTTCTCAAAAACTGACCATTAGCTTCTTCTACTCTCAAACCCACCAAGACAAATATCACACACACAGAGCAGCACCAACCAAAAGTCATGGTGATGAACCAAAGAGAAAACAATTAAGCAAGCAAAAATTAAGAAGATAAAGGAAAAACCCTCACATATAAGAACTTGTATGATATCTGTATATTTAAAGGCCAAAATATCAGTAGTGTGTTATGAAGAGAACTTCTGGAATCAATCAAACATGTTTAACTTTGATGTTATGAAAATTTACCTAATTTGGTGCATTTGCCATTTTGGTTTCCCATTGTGTGATCACATCTTTAAGTCAATGATATGTTGCTAATTAAGCCTGATTAGGGCCGGCCAAAAGCAACTAAAAGGTAGTGTCCCAATGTGGGAGAATCTGTCATGTTAGGTAATGTTCATATCTTTTGACACAAACTTTGAAAAAGATCATTTTTTTTTCATTTTTTTCTGCACCCATATGTTTTTTTTTAACTAATCTCACTTTCTGTAACTCATACTTATTGGAAGGTTTGTCAAATAAAATAAAGGCTTGAAATTGGATGAAAATTTGACTTCAAATTTCATCTGAAAGAAAAGAGTTTAAAGATAAAATATTAGCTTGAGAAAGTTGCATTTGGACCAGAAATGGTAACTGAAAATTGACTTTACTTTCTCTTTCTCTCTTTCCTTCTTTAAGTTGTTGATATCAAAGGTCAATAACTGCTAACAAACTTTCTTCTATAACTTTGATTTGGTCTTTTGTTTGTAAAATTGCTGTTTTTTTTTCTTCACTGCATTCTAACACTTCTTTACAAATGATGTTCACCTAATTAGTTAAATTAGGAAAAAAATTCAATACATATTAATATATTTGACTTTAGTACCATTCCCCTCTATCAGGTGCATTTGCACCAGAATTTTCTCACTGACTATCTTATAAAATCATGCAATTAGAGAACAGAAAATGAAAACACTATTATACCTAACCATGGCATTCGTGCATCACTCAATTGTTTGGCAAATACGTGGCAAAACATCAAGGGAAAGAGAAGTCCAAATAATGATTTAATTCTATTTAATTCTATATATAGGGATAATACCATGATCATATTAGCTCATTCACAAAAATAATAATTAAATACTCATATTTACTATTCATATATATCAATTAAAAATATTTATTTCATATTTATTACAGCTTTTATCCTGATATATTCATAAATATGATGGTCAACTCAATTCTATAAAAATCCACTTTATATATTTTTTTCAGCCTACTCTTTTCTACAAATTTGATTAACATTATTTCAAACTGGTAATCAAAACACATTGAATCTGAACTTATCACTTTTCCTGCTGTTTCTTATTCCAATCATACTAACTAATGTAAATCTGCAAATTCTTTTACACTAAAACTTTAGCAAGTCCTGAATTTTTTGTATTGTTCCTCAACTGTGCTCTCAAAATACACTCTTCAGCACCAAAACTGCATGTAAATGAATAATTACTTTAACTTGATATAAATAAATAATGATTTGTTTAACAAACAAAACTGTCATTTGGCCTTTTTTCCATGCACCAAAGATATTCTACACTAAACATAAGCAGACAAGTTTAGATATCAGTGACCAAATCTATTACATGATACCTTTACATAAAAAGCTATTGCTTTTGAAAAGCCTTCTAAATGATGGGTGGGGAAGTAATAATATAAGGGAAAAAACATTGAATTTACATAATTTCACTCGTACCCTACCCATAATCTGTACACAATTGGGGGGTGTAGCGTGGTATACATTTACTCTAACAATACCAAACTGTAGCAGTTAGTATGATCCCTCATCAATGAACTCAAATATGTTGAGAAAACAAGTGTTACTCCATCAAAGCACAAGAACAAGTTACATGCAATATGTGAAGAAAGTTGTAGTAGCAATCAAACTAAAATGTGTTGTCTCCAATCTTCTAGTTGGTTGCCAAGTAAGAAGCACATTGTTATGAGTCTGAGATGGTCTTTGTTTTGAAAAACTTTGCAACTTCCTGATACAGATTCTCTTCCTCGAATGGCTTTGATACATATCCATCCATGCCACGTTTCAAGCACTCATCATATGTAGCATGGATCACATCAGCTGTCATGGCCAATATAGGCACATGCCACTCACTCCCATTCTTCATCTCCTCATTTGCCTTGCTCTCCATCATCCGAATTTGGCTAGTTGCTTGAAATCTGCAGAATGTGTAAAAACAGTTATTTGTTTCCATGAATTAGAACATATTCTTCTCCTCTGCATTGAGGACTGCTTACAAGTTTGAACAAACCAAGATATAGACAAAATTGAGATTTTTACTTTGACATAATATGTAACAAAAGTCTGATATCTAAGAGATCTTAAGGATGTAATAAACATTAAATGCTATTGAGTAACTTCCAGGGCAAGAGTAGCCATGAACACTTCATGCATTTTATCATTTGAAACATGTAATAGGTCTGAGAAAGGATTTCCTAAGAAGAGACATCATTAAAAATCACCAGTTCAAACTCATAAGGAATTGATACCGCCTCCATTCCAAACCTTAAGACAATGGATTTATGGATCTTCTACCTTATATGTTGTTCATTTTTACTTAATGTGAGACTTAGACTCATACTCAGATTCCCAACAATATGGATCTACAATTTTCTAAGTACTTCAGTATAAATAATTTTAACATGTAATAAAGCATGAAAAGAAGATATAACAGTCAATATAAATATGCATACCCATCCATTTCTGGCATTTGAATGTCCATGAAGCAAGCATCAAAATTGTGAGGCAATTGCAGCATTTCAAGTGCTGCTTTGCCACTTTCTGCACACTTCACATCAGCTCCAAACTTTTTCAGAGCACCTGCAGCAACCCTTCGGTTTACCCCATTGTCATCAACCACCAAGATTTTCTTTCCATAGAGAAGGCTGTGTAGAAAAGCAGAACCATTTGGCATGTCTTTCCCTAGCTGCCTCTTCTTCCCCATCCCCAAAACTTGCTGAAGACAAGCAGCCACCATACTAGCTCTCAGGGGCTTCATGATCACAGTATCAGTGAAACCCATGGCCTTCGCTTTATCAAATTCAATGTTACTAATATTGGTTGCCAGAAGGATCATTTTAGGTATCTTAAACATGTGACCATTCTGTTTCCACATATTGAAAATCCCATCTTCTCCAGATATCCACGTGTCCTTCTCAACCATGATAATATCTGGCAGGAACATTCTGCCACATCCAAGTAGTTTCATTAGTGAATGAACTCAACCATGCAACTTGAGCAAAAAATTTTGTAATAGCACATCTTCTCAATATGTAGTAAAAAAAATAGTCACAAGCAATTTGAGAATATAACTTACAAGAATAATAAAAGCCATAAGAATGAAAAACTAAAAGTAACAGACACAAACAAGAAATATGTCTTTGATTTCAAATTGAAGACAACTGAAACATAACCAATAGAAATTTAAAACCCCACTGGTACAAAAGAATATCCATATTGAAACTTGCCAATTGAGTCATGATGACTATGCCAATACATTATTGAACACAATGAGGCACCAAAGCTCGGCATCACTGACAAATTGCATCTTAAAACCAATTGGCATTTAACAAATTTGCTCACTAGATATATATAAGGCACACCCAGTAATTAAGGTAAGCCATGTGAGAGTTTCAACGATAACACCCTGATAAAACTGCAGAATGTGTTTAAAATTGCATAGTCAGTTTAAAAAACTTTTTTAAAACCACAAGCATGTGTTGAGAACAATATAAAAATGTTGACATCACTGTAGTTCATTATCACTTTCAGTTTCTTCATAATTAACACCAATTCTATCCAAAAAAAAAAATAAAGAAGGAAAAATAGAACTTACCCTGAGTCCAGAGAACAACTTTTACCATATAAAGCAACAGCCTTACTGATGCTACTTTCAACCTTAACTAGTATACCTAGTCTCTTCAAATGGTATCTAGTCACAGCAGCTCTAACAGGTTTTCCATCAACAACGATGACTTTCAGCCCTCTAAAACTTGAAGGAAGATCTTCCAAATTTTTCTTCATGTCAGTAACCGGACCTTTCTTAAATCTTCCACAAACTGCAGTAAACGAGAAAGTGCTCCCAATCTGGGGTCGGCTTATGAAGTTTATCTTACCACCCATCAGTTCAACCAGACATTTGCTGATACTCAAGCCAATACCAGTGCCCCCATAATTTCGTGAAGTTGAGCTGTCAGCCTGCACAAAAGGCATGAATATCCTATCCTGAGCTGAAAAAGGGATTCCAATTCCTGTGTCTTCCACACACACCCTCAATGTGACTTGTTCAGATGTTTCACAAGTAGCCACCATTTCTCTTGAAGAATCAAGGCAACATTTTTCATCACCAATTAGGAGCTTAAAATTATCCCAGCTGTTCCGTTCGTCAGCTGCTTCACGTCCACTTAAGGTTTTGAAATGATAATCATCAGATATAAGGAAAACTTCATCTGATTCTCCATTCAGAAAAGTCTCATGTTTTCCATTCATTATGCACTTTCTATTGTCCCCTAGATGGACTTTGACAAATATATGTCCGTGTTCAGTGAACTGCAAGATGTGCAAATTTGTTTAGTATTAACAAGTACCTTGTGATTGAAATCAATGAATGCAATGGAGCAAATGAATATGAAGGATTTGAGAACTAAAATCATTGCTCTCTTCCTTACTAGCCAGCTAAGAAGAAAAGAAAAAGCTAAATCTAAAAGTAAGAAAACTAAATGACGTTTCCGAATGCAAATAACATCAGACAGATAAACTTCGAAATTCCACCTACTTTTACAGAATTGCCAACAAGATTTGTTATTATTTGTCTGAATCTCCCAGGATCTCCCATGACAATATCCGGTACTTTATCAGAAACAAACACAGCCAGCTTTACTTCCACAATCAAAGTACAGGTTGAGGATCAGCATGAGCATCAAGAACATGAACATCCAATGGCATAACACCCCCAAAAAGAAGTTCATCAGTAAAAAAAAAACAAAAGAATGGTGAAATTCTATAACTTAGAA